CTTCTACTTTTACATCTTGTTCTTCAATTCCCTTAGATTATTTGTAAGTTCCTACTTTTTAATTAATGACAATTAATTCTATTCTTCGCAAATCTATTGATTCTTCAATTATGAGTTGTGAGTAAGTTTTAATTAGGGATTTGGGAATGATGAAGGGGTTAATCACGATGTATGGCTAGTTTCTTGATGGATTAATTGCATGAATGCCGTTTAATTTGTGTTTGAATAATCTAACTGATATCTTTTGTAACCTAGAACCGCGGCTAGACTTACAATTGTTTGTAGAATAAATTAAGAGAGATCTAATTTATTCTGAGACACATTCACACACACTTAATCGCTCGCTAAGAGATTAGTAGCGATTAAGGGGCCGTAAGCTCACTCGTTTTGGCAATAATTTAGGATCCTGTCGCATGAGAGATCAGCCTGGTCCCCTAAATTATTGTACTCTGCGCCGCGGGAGCGGTAAGAACTTAGTAATTATTAGCTAGGCTCAATTAAATTAAGTTCATATAATTAGGCCTGATCTGCGAGAAATCTGGTTAACCCCGGAATCAATCCCTGCTCCCTTCGTCGTTAATTAAGAAGAACCCAATCAATTATTTTTATTCGCTCATTTGCATTAATTTATTTTCCAAACCACACAATCTCACACAATTGCATTTTATTTTTATTTTATTTCTTTTTAATCGCTGAATTTAGTTAATCTTTAATTCCCTTTTGTCCGTCCCTGTGGAGACGATACTCGTACTTTCAACCACTTTCCTACAACCTTTTTAAGTGCGAGAAAACTCACATCACTACCACTACTACAAGAATAACATACCACGTCACACATTTCACGTCGGTTCTATAAAAGCGTCATAATAAGGAGCTTATGGAAGATTTCACGTCAGTTGTTATTAAAACAGACGTTATAAAATAACCAACATTATATGTTCCTTCTCTAGTAGTGTACAAAGAACAAAAGCATTCCATTTAAAGAGAATATGTATATTTAGATATTGTTGAGGTTTATTCCTTCAACTCGTAGGCCCAACACGTGTCCTAAGGGTCAAATGGAAAGGCAAGTGAAAAAATGAAGCAACAAGGAAGGAAAAGGCCCAATAAAGAGTTTCAGTACACTGAATCGATTACAAAGCCGAGAGGCCGAACGTACAATGCTATGCTATGAGCTGATACAATTGCTAGAGTGCTAAATTGTGAACCCTTTACAGTGAAATAAATGCTTCTATTTATACTGCCAAGGGGTAGTTGGATACATTGACGTGGCTGGTTGTGGATGGCACGATCCCAACCACCAAATCTTCTGCATTAAATGCGCTTCCCGCCAGGATCTTGGTTCCCGCCAAGAGATGGGGATGTTCGTCCCCATGCGCTTGCCTGCTGTTTCCTGCTGGACCCTTGGCATCCTGCCAATGGGTGGGGACGTTCATCCCCGTGCACTTGGCTCCTGTCTCCTGCTGGAGTCTTGGCATCCTGTCAAGGGATGGATGGGGACGTTCATCCCCGTGCACTTGGCTCCTGTCTCCTGTTGGAGTCTTGGCATCCTGCCAAGGGGTGGGGACATTCGTCCCCATGCACTTGGCTCTTGTCTCCTGCCGGAGTCTTGAACCCCCGACAAGGGTGGGGCCGTTCGTCCCCATGTGCTTGCCTCCTATTTCCTGTCGGACCCGGAGTCGTCCCTCAAGATGAGCATCTTGAGAAATTCTTGGGCCAGGGTACCGGCTGATAGTAAGCTACGTACGTCCCCTGACCCTTCGTACTGAAGCTTGACCCTCTTTGGGACGAACCTCCTCCTGAACCAGTAGACAGGTAACCCATCGTCTTGGGCCTCCAACAGGACTTTCGTAGGAGGTCCTCATGGGCCTTTTGGGGACGTTCGTAAGAGGTCCTTATGGGTTGATGGGCCGACTCTTGTTGGGCCATTAACCCAACACAAGTCCCAACATATAACACAAGGGTTGATGGGCCTTGTTGGGCCATTAACCCAACAGATATTTTGTAATATTGAAGAGTCGTTCGGTCACCCTGTTTTTTGCTTATCATGATTAATATCTCTGAATTGTGTAATAATAAGAAAAAGTAAGGTTTGCGTTACTTTTCTGGTTGTATTGGTTGAAATCCCTGTAGAGGGTCATTTTAGCTATTTTTCACATAATTTTTTCTTTATTTTATTTATATAATATATTTTAAATATAAGTTTTTCATAAATCAGCAGATTCAGCTAATCGAGTTACTTCAGTCAAAACTTTATAAATTTCAGCAGAATCAGCCAATTTAGCCGATTTCGATATTACCAAACGGCTTTGGATTTTATTCCATATTTTTGAATGCTTTATTGAGTTGGTTCTAAATCTATTTGAAAAGCTTTCATTCGACATTTTGAAATATTTTGTGTATTCTGTCTAAAGAAAATACGCATATTTTGAAATGTTTTGTATTTTTCATATTTTTCATTCAATTTATATACTAATACTATATTTCAACCAGGTGAGATGCACGTATAACCAATCATATGAGAGAATCATTAGTTCAATACTTCAATTCTAATATACTCTGTATAACTTTTGTCGAAAAAGTAACTCAATTAATTTAATTTCATCTTCGTGCATATTTACATATGCAGAGAAAAATATTTTTATTCTAAAATGTTAAGTTGCTTTTAATGATAATAGTTATCTTTATTTAAATAAATATATAAAAGGATAAATTGAATTTTCAATAAAATAAAGTGAGTTTTATATTTATTTAATAATAAGAGTATAATGATTAGTTTTCCTTATAAGATGCCCAATAAAAACAATAATTTCCGTTGAAAAATATGCGATAAAATTGTTCAGTGCATTCAAAACATAAGAGGTAATGATTAAAAACTAATTGATATATTTCTCTCATTTATTTTCAAAATTGACATTTTATATTTACGAATAAAATTACCTTTCAAATCACGCTTATAATAGAAGAAGCATTTAAATATACGAATTGAGATTTTCAAATTAAAGAATTGAAATAATACTGGTAAAGTATAATATTATAATTAAGAAGTAAACAATGCTTATATAATGTTTCCAAAAAGTTTCTCTTTTATAATTCCTCCATTCTTTTTTAGTTTCAACACTTCCATTTGCATATTTACCAACACACTACTTTGATTATTAGTATTCGATGTAAGTACAAAATTCGAAAAATGAGATTTTCGGCAATTTAAATTGAAACGTATTGAACAATATTTTTCACAAAATGTCTACTAATACATTATTACTAACTAAAATATAGTCATAGTAGAACACGTGACTAGAGTAAAAAAAATATGTTGAAATATATAGGAACAATGATATTATAAATATTGAATTTGTATCATTCTGTTCCAATAAATGGATACAAAACATGTTTAGGTCTAAAACTTTGTAGTTATAGTTATAATTATAGTTATAGTTGTAAGCTCATATTATGACTTTTGTGATATATTAAGCGAACCAAGATATATATTTATATATCTATAAGAAAGAGCGTGCAATTCTAGCTTGCGTCTACACTAGACGTTATTAATGACATAAGTAATTACATGCTTCCATTGATCAATAGCCTATGAGTTACATATCTTAGTTCAATTAATATTATCCTTTCACACACTCGTATTACCTTCAACTCCATTTTGATACGTACACTGTCGAATATCGTAATACCGCTCCAATGATTGAATTGCCTAATCATGTCTTCCATGTGAAAATCAGAGTCCCAATAATGTTTTTGAGAAATTTTAATCGCGCAAAAGTTTTATTCAATGGATTGTGATTGGTCATAACCTGACCGAAAAAGGAAGTATGACAAGTCATAACTCGAAAAGCTATGAAAGCTAAAGTTACATATTGATCGAGAATCCCATTATCGCATATATATGACACCTTTATTCAATTTCCTAAGAAAGTAATTTCATGTCCTCGCAAGCTTTGTAATGACAATCAATAAAAGTTAAGGTTAGATGTTATCACATAAAATTTGATTTATACATTGAGAGTTAAGTTTCACTAGTGGCCAATTGTACATTGCAATACCAAAGGTAATGAGCAAAGACATCTTAAAATACTCACGTCTTCAAAAGAAACAAAATTCTTTACTAAGACAATGAATGTTGTTTATAAAGAGGTTTCCCAAAACCTAAAAGTGTGATGTTTGGTCACTTTGGTGCGTGATGTGTTACATATATTATAATGTGACTTTAATTCTCTCTTTAGTTAAATTACTATCCACAATGAACAAAAGTTTATTTGAAGTGAAATTATGCCCCCTCAGTCCCATTTTGTAAGATATATTTCTTATTCCCTTGGTCAACACAAATCACTCTTAATCTCTTATTTTATATATCAAATTTTCATCAAATTTGATTCTGGTTTTTGCGACTTTGTAAAGTTTTTAATGTAGTTTCTGAATATCGTAAACCGTAAAGTGTCTTACAATTCGGGATGAAGGGAGTAAATTATTTGTGTATGGTATGAAATAAATATCTTACAAAATATTCAAACATTCTCAACAATTGCTCGGGTCAACGCCCGAGTAAAACACGAGTAATTGACCAAATCTTTCCATTTTATCAAACTAATGAATCTTCTATCTAATCAAACTGATGACCAAGAATAATACTTTGTATCAGATCTGACTTGAGCAGTTATAAAATACTCAGAGATAAGACATTTGTCATACCAGACTAGACTATTTCAGACAATTTTTTTAGGCTAATTAAGAACATGAGAAAGCTTTATGTTTTTGAAAAATAATTGACCAGATCTTTCCATTTTATCAAACTAATGAATCTCTTCTATCTAATCAAACTGATCAGTGATGACCAAGAATAAATGAATAATACTCCGTACCTTTCAAAAAAAAAGAATAACTCCGTATTTGTTTTTTTGTAGAACAGTAGAAGTTCTTTTCATTTGAACAATTGAACCTCAACACTCACAAACACACATACTACAGTGTATATAACGATCGTATATATAGGTGCAACCTGTATTCAATTCATATCTTTCAGGGTACATATCTTTCACGCATTGGGGGCACTGATAAATTAAATGTCTCTCCGGCCATTCTCCGGCCCTTTATTAAGCTAGCAAGTCAACATTGCTTATAGTATATTACCTAGTACGTCCGTCAAATATTTGAAGATATATAGGAGAAATGAATCTCTCCGTGAATGGTGAATCGCAGGTTCCTCCCGGATTCCGGTTCCATCCGACGGAGGAGGAGCTTCTGCATTACTACTTGAGGAAGAAGGTGGCGGCGGAGAAGATTGACCTCGACGTCATTACCGACGTTGATCTCAACAAGCTTGAACCATGGGATATTCAAGGCAAGAAAATTCGAACACTAATACTATAACATCAATATTTTCTTCCTAATACTAGTAGAGACCCATTGGGCTACCACCCCAACAATTTTTTTAGTGTATATATATACAAAAATAATTTTCACCCTACCAAAAAAGAACCCCAAAAAATATTTTTCCCCCAAGATGATTTTCCTGGGTCCGCCCTGTTCCTAAAGTATGTCAGATTTCTAAATAAGTTCGGTTTACACACTCTGTCTTTGTTTTAGTCCTATTTCATGCAATTTTTTTCATTAGTACTATATGCAGGGGTGAAATCCGACCATGAGCCCCAAATTTCTTTTAGTTATATATATGCATGAAAATTAATTTTGATCCGGCGGAAAATAAATGAACCTGATTGTGTCCATCAACATTGTCATTCTGCATCCGTCACAAATTACAAAAACGGAGTTGGCAGAATTGTTTTACAGGGATTTGAAAAAATCACAGAGAATTTGGTAGGGATGTGTCAAATCTGTGTCAAAAACATTTTATCACGAGCTATTTAGCACGAAATTATCGATAAATTCATGCCAAATCCGTGTGAATACGGTAATTTTTTCTTCATAGTGATATATGAATTTAATTACGAGAGATGACGCAGAAATGTGCAAAATAGGATCGGGACCGCAAAACGACTGGTACTTTTTCAGTCACAAGGACAAGAAGTACCCGACGGGAAGCCGGACGAATCGGGCAACGGCGGCGGGGTTTTGGAAGGCAACAGGGCGGGATAAGGTTATATACAGCAATGGGAAGAGAATAGGAATGAGGAAGACCTTAGTTTTCTACAAGGGGAGAGCTCCGCATGGGAAGAAGTCGGATTGGATCATGCATGAATATAGGTTGGACGAAACCTCCCGTAACCCCTCCGTAAGCTCACTCTCCTGTCTCCACCGACTTAAATAAATGTTCTTGTCTCACATTATTAATCTTCGATTCCCTCCACCTGTTACATATCTTTCCAAATATAATCTTGATTTAAAATTTTAGTCTGGGATAACTTTAACAAATATCTCCACCATCGTCATTTTTAATACTCCAAATAATTTTTTATTTTTAATCGAGTAAATTTTTTATTTTTAATAGTTCAAACAGTTCAAATAAGTCATATTAAAGAAATTATAATACTCCGTAATGTTTAGAGCCATTACTACTAATTCAATTTAGAGCCCATTTGGTAATACTGAAATCGGCTGAATCGACTGATTTTAATGAAATTTATGAAGTTCTGGCTGAAGTGCATGTTTTAGATGATTCTGAGAATTTAAGAAAAAATTATTTAAAATATACTGTATTTTATTAATAAAAAAAAAATTATGTTAAAAGATAGTTAAAATGGTTATCTATAGTTAAAAATTGATGATAAACCAAAAAACATAGTCACCTAAAGGGCTCTTAAATTGATGTATGCCGGCCTACTTGTCCGGTATGACTTTACCATTTGTGGTTTACAAATTTTTGACTGACCCCTAATTCAGGAAGATTAAACATTACGAATTTCTTTGATGTACAGAAGTATAAATAAATAAATAAATAAATAAATAAATAAATTAAATAAATAAATAAATACTTCGTATTAACTTTCACTTTCTTGGCCAGCATTGTTCTATTTACCCTCTAATTACGAGTATTTGCAATCATTTTGGAATTTCATTTTCAGATTAAATTGAGCTGAATGGTTTTCAAATTAGTATACAAATTTCAATTACCAAAATTAACTTAACTAAGACTTACACTATATTACTATCTTAAATCAGGAAAAATTGACTTAAAAAGTCCCTCCGTTCTAACTTAATAAATTAAACAAGACGAGAGACTACGAATATTGGGGAAAATTCCCGAAATAGGACCAAAACAGTTTGAATATTCTAAAATAGGACTGTCATGTTTTTATACACAAAATATGAGTAATTAGTGCTAGTTAGATGGGATCAAGTAGACCAGAACGAATTAGATCACATGATATCAAGTTCATACAACCCAATTTAAAACATCCAAATTTGTCATCTATAGTGATGTCACTATATGTGGTACGCACCATGCCTTTATACCAAATGTCTATTCGTGTTTCTTGTTATGGATCTCGAAGAATAGCGATATTATTACCTAAAATATGAGTAGCAGATGACCAAGTCTAGTAAACTGTAAACATTACATAATATGAAATTAAACAAATAGTTCTATGAAAATTACTAATGCCTATATTACATTCCGTTAAGAATACTAATTACGATTAGCATACTAAAAAGTAAATTATAACAACTGAATTTAATAATAAAAACTTTATGCAGAGAACCTGAAAATAGCATAAGTTAGATATATTCAATCCATGTATGATGAAAGTCCAGTGAGCTAAAAATATGTGATACATGAAGTCTGTACATTTCTTGTTGGTACACAAGAGTAGTAAAAATTTGTCGTCTTTGGTCAACGAAAAAGTCCCTTGCTGCGGACTCTATGCCGTTTTTAAATTGGGAAAAATAATTAAAATATGCCAAACTTTGAAGGAGTGTGAGATGAACACCTCAAACTTGCATATGTATTTTAAATACCATAAACTTTATATAAAAATTTATTTTGGCACCATAATGAAGTATTATTTTTTTCAAAAATGTAAATTTATGGTGTTAATTGCATAATTTAAAAATATTTTAGAATTCATGAAGAAACAATTAACATTATAAACTTCCATTGCGAAATAAATAATGTTACACTCAATCTATATAATTGCTACTGTTGGTCCAAAATAGGACGCTCGAAGGCTTTTAGGAAAGCTACGTACGACACTCAAGCAAGAATTAGGAAAGTACGAATATGGAAAGTTAGCCAGAAATAGCATGTAGAATTCGCTTCCTAATATGAATTACAAGCCGCCTTTTATAGGCATATACAAATCGTAACCGCTACCGATATAATGATTAAATAAATACAACATTAATACGAAATTAAATACATAATCAATAGCGCATTAATTGCTTGACTGTTACTCTTCCGTGCTGGGAGGTCGGTCGGACTGGCAGGCTCCCCGCTGGGCTGGCAGACAGGCTCCAGGTTGTGGACTTGGATACACGGGTCCAAGTTCGAGGCTTGGGCTGATTAGGCTCTGGGTCTAGTCCCATTACTCCATCACGAGTCCCCCACTCCCTTAGTCGAGTAGTAGACTCGGCTAAGAGGGAGTAGTCCAAGTCAGTTGCTCTTCTTCGAGACTAGAAGATCCCCGCCCTTGTCCGTGTTGGGGAGATGCCTCATTAAAAACCTTCATTAGGAAAAAACCCAATGGGAAAAAATCCTAATGAAGGGAAAAAGAGTACATCTGACGCCCCCAAGATGAAGCAAGAGGTGAGATTCTTAGCCTTTATTGCAATGATCGCCATCTGCGAATAGGATGGCTAGAATTGTTCTTCTCGTCGGACTCAGACTCGTCAGGTTTGTCATTTGCTTCTTTGAAGACGGTAAGACCCTCAGTCCCCCACTTCATTCAGTTGTACCTACACATAAAAGAAATTAGTGTAGAATAGAGCATCTGGCCTGGTGTCGAACCACGGCTCGGTGTAAAGTGAGTCAGACTCACTACTTGAAAAGAATGACATCAAGTTCCCAAGTTAGGCCTCAACCCAGTCTCCGAAAGAAAGACTGAATCTGCGAGTAAGTGAGTCGGACTCCTCACTCGAATGGATAATCCATCCCCAAAGAACTAAAGTATATCAACCTTTTCGAGAAATGTGAATGTCAATTAAGTGACAAAATTGCTCAGAATAGCGTGGCTCTAGGCCCCTAACAAGAGTTTAACTTGCCGCCCGAGGTTAGTAGTTCGAACCCGCAAGTAAAAACTTTTGAACGGGTGACTCGTCCCCCGAGGTCGGAGTGTGATGCACTTGGAAAGGGTAAGAGCATGCAAGAACTCGTATGAAGTCAAGAGTGTGCGGTATTAACATTTATATTGAAGCCTATTAATCGCCACACCCATATGACGTGACCCGGTGGCGCGAGTGTGTGTGCTCGGCCATTGTACGAGTGTGTGTGCTCGTCCGGTGTACTTGAGTGATCGTATTTCATAAGTCCGTTGTTCAATGTTAAAATTAAGCACACTTAACAAGAGCAAAAGCAATCATATCACTTAAAATGTCTTTTCAAATGATTCAATTTATGATTTTTTTAGTAATTCCACATATTAATTTTAGGGAAAATAATTTTGGAGTACTTAGCTTTTGAGCGGGCTGCAATCTTGGACTGTCTTGTTGAAATCCAATCCATTGAAAAACCAGCCCAAAGATGGTCCAATCCATAAAAAGCCAGCTCAGCGGGGAGCCTTCCAGTCCGGTTGTGATTGGCGAAGAGAACAGGAGGAAGTGGAACTATAGCACCTTGGATTGCGATGAATTTCTTGAATTTTTTCCTACTAAAGTGATGTGATAGATCAATAGAGCCTCTCAATGAAAGCACCAATGTTGGTCCAAAATAGGACGCTCGTAGGCTTTTAGGAAAGCTACGTACGACACTCAAGCAAGAATTAGGAAAGTACGAATATGGAAAGTTAGCCAGAAATAGCATGTAGAATTCGCTTCCTAATATGAATTACAAGCCGCCTTTTATAGGCATATACAAATCGTAACCGCTACCGATATAATGATTAATTAAATACAACATTAATACGAAATTAAATACATAATCAATAGCGCATTAATTGCTTGACTGTTACTCTTCCGTGCTGGGAGGTCGGTCGGACTGGCAGGCTCCCCGCTGGGCTGGCAGACAGGCTCCAGGTTGTGGACTTGGATACACGGGTCCAAGTTCGAGGCTTGGGCTGATTAGGCTCTGGGTCTAGTCCCATTACTCCATCAGCTACACTTTTAATTTTCTATTTTAAATAATTCAACTAACTAACCTCATAAACTTACATTTTTGAAAGAAAAAATACATGATAATGGTGCAAAAATAAATTTTTATATAAAGTTTGGGGTATTCAAATTACATACGCAAGTTTGAGGTGTTTACTTCACACCCCGTCAGAGTTTGGATTATTTTTATTATTTTTCCCTTTTAAATTTGATTTTATTCAGGGATATAGTCGTAAATAGAAATAAACAACTTTATAAATGACATAATAGAACTGCCCTGTTTTGTTTCTTGAAATAACAGTCGCTACCATGATGATTGAAACATATTGTCATTAATGACAATAGATACTGTAATGTTAAATGTCTAATACAACAATTATTTGACAGTAATGACTACTAGATGACACTATATATTCTTATGTTACTCCTATTTCGAGAATAATAACATATTATTCCTATTTTCATTTTCGAAACCTCTTTACAGGAAATTTTCCTTTAGTTTACTTATTATTTATCATATATTTTATTGTTACGTTCCAGCAGGGCTCAAGTTTGGCCGGAGAAACGTTGACCGGTGAAGAGGGTTGGGTGGTTTGCCGAGTTTTCAAGAAGAAAAACTATCACAAGGCTCTTGAAAGCCCTCGTCTTGCCGGCTTTGACAAAGTCCACCCAGGAAACGACGTCGTCGTTCTTGATCAGATTCTTACCTACATGGGAAAATCCTCAATCCAAAACGGGACCAAAAATAGTAATAATGGCAGTAAAAATAAAAAGCTTTTAATGAACGGCCACGATGGAAGTAAGGAATTCACCGGCGCAATCCCGTCCGCTCGTTTCCTACACCTTCCGGGGCTTGAAACCCAATCCCCCATGGAGATCATCTCTCCCCACCATGTTTCCAGCAACATCTCACCTTTCTTGAGTCCACCATTATTTGAAGACCTTTTGACCGAGACTGAACCGGTTGAGGAATTGAAACTGGCCGCCGGTCCGACCGGTTGGGCTGCTCTGGACCGCATGGTGGCCTCTCAGCTCAACGGCGGCCAAGTCGAAGCATCTAGTAAGAGCTGCGCCGCTGCCGGTGAACTTAGCGACAGCTTGTATTTTCCGGTAGCGGATCACCGGCCGTTTGGTAGCGGGAACGATGATTGTAACTACCATAGTTTCCAAGTCAACGTCAACGGCGTTGACTTTTGGAATTATACCCACTCATCATCATCACCATCGGATCCTTTGTCACATTTGTCTGTATAAATAGCCATATACGGTCATATATACAATCATATATAGATACATATACACATATATTACATATACATACATGCTTTGGAATTAAAAAAATACATACATGTATAATTAATTAACGCGGGAAGGCACATTAATCTTAATTAATAAGCTAGTACTAGTATTACTATGGTGGGTCATATTTACTACGGAGTACGTGTCTACGTAGTACCATGCATACTACGTACGTAATACATAGATTTGTAGAACTGAAATCATACTTTACAAATAATATACTGTAAATCAAATATGATTTGAATGAAATGAATATCTTTGTTTCTTTCGAGTCCATTTTGTCTTGTGTAGTTGTCTTCATAATGGTTAATGATGATCTCCCTAGCTATGTTCTATCATTATCTTAAATTACGTAATTTGTAAAGTAATTACCGGAACAAGATCTCAAAGACTCTTGAACGTCAGTTTGGTCAGACATCAAAATATATCATCAACTACTTCACTTTACTTTTAGGAATAATAAGGGCTATAGTTTTGTGAAATACAAAATTAAGCGATCACTTTTCTTTTATTTCAGTGTTATTTTTGTTTAATTAGTACTCCGTATGTTTTTTTAGATGGAGTATGTTTGGTTTAGATATCTGGGTATATATTTAATAATTTAAAGTACACACTTTTGAGGCAGTGCAGTGTTTTGGTTTCGGTTGTTTTAGATTTAAAATTACTTGTTTCGTGTCTAGTGAGTCTGGTTGCTTTATATGAGATGACCGACTCAATGTCTATTCATAAAACTTATGATCGCATATGTGAGTCCGGTTACTTGTATGCTATCTCGATATTATTATAAAAGCCGTTATTTTATTTTCAAATAAAATGACTAACCTTAGTTTAATTAATCCAACTTTCTTTCATTGTAATTTATATCCAATTTCTGCCCCTCTTCCTCAACACTTTCCCAGCCACTCCATGAAGCGCCGCCAGAAAGTTGTTGGAAACATGTTTCACGACAGCAGTGACATTCGTAAGTGACATGAAAGTCCGACAATGACATCATATTTTTTCAAATATATGATCTTATTAGTCACATTTTTGTTCAAATGTAAAGCTGGTCATTTTTTTAAATGGCTTCAATTTATTCATAATCTAAAAAACAATTGTTCACAATTCTCGTAATATATGTAAAACATGGATCAAGCACAAATATATACGTAGTAATTAACTTCATTTTATTTAAATAAGACTTCTTTATTCTAATAAATGAATACAAAAGTTATATTTTCTTCTTTTAGAAGTAAATGGTACTATTTTATGAGAAAACAATTATGGTGGTTGGTGGCCCGTTTCATAATAAAAAAATACAAACAATGACCAAAACATGACACATTTCTTTCAAATAGTCCGCCATTATTTTTTTAAATAAAATATGACATATTTACTACTACGTATTTAAAAACACCTTTAATAATTTTATATACTCGTATATACAAGTACGTCCTATTTTATGACCAAACATGATTAGTCTTATTTTTTAATCAAAGCATGTTTTACTCCAATTATTAATTGTAATTTCTTTTGAAGAAATTAGCTAGAAATTCATTTTTTAAATTTCTTTTAAGAGATTAATCATCTCTATTTCAAATAATGTGATAACGTAAGTGATGTCCTTTAGTTTTGTTTTTTTTTGGGAAGAAGGGGCTTAAATTGATATCACAACATTCAGATATGGGGTAAAATGACAAAAGGACCACAAGAAACCGTCAACCCTCGAACCAGACTTAGAATCAATCACCTTCAAAAAAGCAATATGACTCGCTGATGCTATAATGGGCATAAATGAGCCAACGACGTACGAAAAATAAATATCAAGCAAACGGTAAAATTAAAATGCTGCTTCCAAACCCTAGACTCTCCTGCACTCCATCGTGGCGGTTCAGGAGGGGGACGGTCCAGCAGTACTGCAACTTCTTCCTTTTTTTGCCTCTTATTCATCATGATCTCTACCAAGCCTCCTTTGTCGCCACCTAACACGGATGCCCTCAAATCTAGATCTGTTCCAGCCCCTAGCTTCACGCTTCGTCCATAACCTTTCACTACTAAAAAACTGACTTACAGTGACACTTATTTAGTGACACTATAACATCACTCTGATATTTATGACATATATGTGTCATTGTTTTTGGTATATTATTATTATTATTATTATTATAGAATAGTGACACTTGCTCATACTGAAAGCTAGTGCGGTAGTAATGCCGCCGGTGGAAGGACCAGTCCCGGTGACCTCGCAGGCGAAGACTTCCTATGCATCGGTGGTAAGGGATCCTATCCCAGGCCATCGATTCCATTCTTAGGGTTGCTCACTTTCCAACGCAGCTGAGTTGGGATCGTCTGGAACCGTCAAGGGCTTCCCGTCCATTTCCTTCTCTCAAAATGACTTTCAGATTCTTTCCCTCCCATTCCTATACGCCATGGTCGGTACTTTTCCCTTCGGACGCCCCCTATCCCTGCGATTCGTAAGGCTTTTGAAATGTTAGGGTCTGCTCAATCTTATTCGGTTGGTTTGCTCCAATCGAACATTGTTCTAATCAATTTTAAGTCCGACCTTGATTTCCAAAAAATGGGACTCTCCCTAGCCCCCGTCTGGATTTCCCTTGAGGGACTCTCAATCCATTTACGTGATTTAAGGGCTCTAAATCCATTTGATGACCTGGCCGGGAAAGGAAGGGACGAGTCTGACGGTCTGGGTTTTCTTGGGTTGCGACGGCACCGGCACACTGCTTCCAAACTTGCAGCTTCATCTCGAAGACCGAGATATTTTATAGTTTTCAATTTGTAGCTCCACACCTCTTTCTATCTTATTACCTTCTTTAGTTTTAATTCTTTGTTTTTAACCTAAAAATTAGGATAACTTGAAAATCTAACCTGATTTGTTTACAAAATTTTTATACCGTATTCTTTAGCTTGTTGACAGAATGAGGGGCGGAAGATGTTTTAGTGTTTTTGCAGGTCTTGTAAGGCTCCTGAGAAAAAAGGTAAATCCATCAAATGAACGGGCTTGTTTGTTTATAATTAACATTAAAATAGTTATAGTTGTGCTTTTATTTATTTTTAATCTATACTGAAAGCATAGATATTTAATGGTTTATTTGATTTCTTTGATTTTCATTGATTAATAGCCATAAATCTGCTTCTTGATTCTATTGGGAACTTGAAGGTCTGTCAATTTGGATTGAGTGAACTTATTGCCTTCAGTGAAGAAATAGGAAAAAGTGATCAAGGAATTTTTACTATTCTTTACCAAATTCATTTCTTCTAAAATGCTACTTGTTCAATTCAGTTATTTATGGGGTCTGAAGTTGCTACAATGCAATTGATTTAGTAATAAAAGTTCCTTAGCGTGTTGCATCAGTATGCCTCAGAGTCCTATGAATAATATGCCAAACTGTATAAGTTTGAGAGCGTAATGAACTAATGATATGCTGCACCAATGTCTACATTTTATAGGGAGACTCTTTTCAATTGTAAACAAATTCATCTGCATGATATTGCATGGATTTGGAGGATAGATGTCATCCCAAAGCTTAGATCATCCATTTTTTTGAAGTTCCATATATTTCTCTTGATGTGACCTGGGATCTGACGAGCTGCTCTTGCTTCTTCATTGAACTAAATAAATTGGAATAAAGCTGTAGTAGTGACATTACTCTGTAATTAGGTTTTTTCAAGCAATATATATATGTCGAAATTTAAATCAATGTCTTAATGTTTTCAGAGTTTTCGGTCTTCCAGATTGCTCCTTCGGGTCCTTTGAGGAGCCATGTGACTAAGTAAGATCCCTAGCTGATTTTTGTTGTGTGTGTGAAGATGTGATGCTGGTTTGTGCCAGTTTCCTCCAACTTTACCCCTTTTTTGCTGTGCCAGGCAGGGTAGCCTTAACTGATCTTCGCCTTGCATATGCAATCTATGACCTAAAACGGTGAGAACCAAGTTTCGTGCTCGTATTGTTTTACCATCTCTTAAGACTTCTTATGATGGAAGCGAAGTTGCTTGGTTTTATCTTCTTAAATTGTTACTGTTAGATTTGATTTTTGTGTTTGATGATCTAAACCAAGATAATTGTTGTGTATTCTTTCCTAACACTACTTTTCTAATGCTGCTTATTGACTTTCTGTTTTTATAAGTTGTGCTTATACTTGCATCTTGAGAGATTAGAAATTAGATTATGAAAATTAACATTTGTTTTCCTATTTCTCTGTGCAGGAAAGACGCTTAAGATTATGTATCTATCTACAGAGTACAAAGCCATGATAAAAGTCATGCACACTTTTCATAGAGTGTCCACTCAGCAGTCTTTGCACAAGGTATCATAATAAATTTGGAGTTTTATCGATTGTTGATAAAGAAGGTTTAAATGTTAGTTTAGGGAATTTCTATTTTGACTGCACACCTCTGACCAGTTTCTTACATCCCCTTATTGGAATATCTCATTTCTTATTTTATCTCTCATTGGGTTTTGTCCTCAATTTTTTTCATGGGGAAATGTTTTACATTTTCCATGCCTTTCCCCAGCAAAACTAAAACATGTCTGGGGTTGAGCATTACCTAAGATGTAGGATAAAGAGTTCCTAAGCAGAGAGCAAGATGGTGAGGTGTTAACATAATGCAGCTTTAACAATGTCTTGTTGTTTTTACATCCAAGATTTAAATCCACAACCCAATGGTAAACGATCGAACACTTTTCTAGCGCAACAAATCCAACCTTTAGAAAGTAAATATGGGATCACATTCTCAATGAATATCCTCTTCCCATTGGGAAACTGTAGATCTTTCAAAATATAAAAATTAAGGCACTCTATAACCTATTACATACACTGGGAGACCACATTGTGTGTTTATTTTAATAAACACTTATTATCATTTATTCTTGATTAATCTTCATTTAGACTAATTTTTATGCTACATAATTTTATGCTTGAAAAGTACTTTGCCTTGACAGGAAAGGCCTATTACAAGGAATGTGCAAATCTAAGGCCTTGTTTGGTAGCCATTACTAGCTTATTCTATAATTCACTTGGCTGCAGGTTTACTTGACTAATATATCGCATATCCAGCCTTATATTTTCAAAATTCCCAATTTTCTTATTTCTGTTTTCAGAAAATGAATTGCTATTCCATGTTTATATGATAACTTTTTTATCTACTTTCGTTTCTTCTGAATGGATAACTAATTTCAACTAATTTCCACTGTCACAGGAAGCTCTATTTTTACTTTCATCACACTATTTTTATAATAATCATTATAAGCTCTAGCACGGAAAATATTGACTTGTGTTAATTTTATCCTTAGATGTTGATGTACTCGTTGAACTTATTGATTATTAATATTGCAAAGTTAAACAATTATGCAGGCTATGTTCAACCAGATATTGAGTAGTACTCTAAAGACTTGTTTTATTGGATTTTTTGGTGATGCTAAGGCTATGTTCAACCAGATATTGAGAAGTACTCTAAAGACTTGCTTCATTGGACTTTTATGGTGATACCAGGAACTATGATGTCTAGCGTGTAGCATATAAAAATTTTGTATGATTAAAGTGTAGATTTATAGCATCTTGTAATATATGTAATACTTTATTGATATTGACACTGTAAAATTATTTGAGTAATAAATATAGATATTGTTGTTTTGTTTTGGCTATTTATTAATATTTCTATAGTTTATATAATTTGTAATAGAACTAGAAAGAAGCAATAGAATGATTATAATAATAATGTGATTGTAATTATGACACCAATGTGTCGTAATTTTTATGATACCAACGTGTCACAAAGTCTTATGATACCAATGTGTCATAATTTTGCATCACATTAATGTGTCATAATTTACTGACACTATTTTGTTTTGCAATCAGTGACACTATATTTAGTGTCGCTAGCCGCCACTTTCCCCGACGCTTTTTAAGTGTCGCAGAAAGTTTCAGCGACACTAAATTAGTGTCACTATAGGCCCTTTTTTTACTAGTGTTTTGATCTCCACCATGAACGACATCCTCGAAATTCTCCACCTGTTGTTAGGGGTGCACAACCTTTGACCGCTATATAGGCGGTGTGGCCTGCCGAAGAAGAAACCTCACGAATGGCGGAAAAAATCGCACTTCGTCAAAGGCGAAAGCGGAGAAAATAACCCCTAAATCTAGGGGAGACGGCCGCTGCTATGCTAGGGTTTCTCTCTTAGAGAGAGAAAGAGCGCCTGCCGGTAATTTACATTTTTTTAATGTCCTTTAGTTATAACACTTCAAAACATACATCGCAAAGAATCCTATTTGTTGAAACGAAACGAAAAATCCAAATACATTAATTCACCAACCGGCTCGAAATACAACTTAGGTTAATATTAAAATAACCACCACCCACATTGAATAAAGAGACTCTGGTTAGCTTATGTGTCACGTGATTCGCGGATCATTTGCAAAACTAGACAACAAACCTAGACGCATTCTGAAGAATGTGTCTAATATCATTAATAATAGTATCAAAATATGTATCTCCTGAATTTTCCTCTAATCTTGTCGTGATTAGTTGGGCATCTGTTTCTATTTCAACTTGATTCCATCCTCGATTCTTTTCTCATATGAGCGCCGCTCTAACTCTAACCAGGTTATGTCACTCACATGAATAAGCTCAAAACATAATTTTATTACTCAGTATTAAGATTGCAGCAAAGTTCCCTGATAAGAGGAGTAGCACAAGACTTCAACATCCTTTGTCATGGCTAAACACTTTGCATTGATCTGCTATCATTCATTTTCATCAATTCATCATTTTCATTTTTAATAATTACATTATGATTTTTCATAGGGGTCCACAACATTATTATGGATTGGTTTGGCTCTAAGCTAGTACTATATTAAGATTTGGAGTTTCATCCTAAATTAGTACTTGTTTAAAATCTTAATATAACATTTTATTATATCACATTTACCTATTTTACCGGTGTGGGACTTTAACAATGTAACGACCGTCCCCAAACAGCCATTACCATACTTAACATAAACAAGACTCAATATACAAAGTGGAATATTACAGAATACAAAGTCTCATCATGAAACATTATTTCTTATATACATAAGAAAACTCCATAACTGAAATGTCAAAAGACCAACAACAATCACGCTTAAAACAAAGTCATCACACCTGATCAGGATTTTTAAAAACAAACATAAAACAACTCATAAAAGTGTCATAGTAAAACACAAAACATGAGACACAGCCAGGTCGTTTCCGTTAACCCATCCACAACCTCGCCACCCGACCCGAACATTCTCTCAGGATTCCATTCTTCATTCATTACCTATACATGAGACACAAGAGAACAGAAGTCTCGTAAGCAAAATTTGCTTAGTAAGTCACCATTACATCCACTAAAATAACGGAGTCTTAGCTAGCCATAATTAGATACATAAGCTAGAATACTCTACACATAGCATATTCACACACATATTCATATCATGTAAAGCACAACTTCACGTAACGAAATCTAAAAGATTTCCTCATTCATCATTCTTTCTTCCTATCATGCTACTTGACTTAATGGGCCCGTATCTCGTGTCCTGGCCCCTCGCTAATGACCTTGGGTAGCTAGCCCGCAGCCATCAGAAGTAATCCCGGGACTCCCTGCGGAAGGAGATCCTGCTCCGTTCAGCTCAGGTAATTACTTGGGGGAACGGCTACCTTAGAACATTTCATATCATTCATTAGATATCATTATCATCACAACTCTCATTCATTGTTGGATTCCATATAAATCCAACCTCATCATAAACATAGAACTTGGATACCTTACACTGATAACTCAACAAGTTCTCAATCAACATCATATACAAGGATATATACATAACAGGGCATTCACATAATCTTATGCCATACAAATTCAAGTGTTCAAGCAAATCTATCCAATTCATAGACAGCTACACTTCCATGTTTCATTTCAAACTATCATGTATATGTTGTGATAACTTACCTGATTCACGTGGAGTTTTTTTTTACCCTTGATCGTGCGTATAAAACGTCCACGGGCAACGGTTCTTCGATTGAGCAACTATATACATTGTTTACATTTGATCAACAAAACTTCATGTTTTTAACCCAAAACCTTAAAACTTAGGCATAAGGGGAATTCAATAAACAACCAGCTCCCAAACATGATAGACTTCTAAAACTCCTAATCTCAACCGGTCAAATTTTCGGGTAACTAGACAACAACCTCCCGGTTGAACTTCATACTCAAGAGTCAACAATAACTAACCAATAATCATTCTATCAAGAGTTATACACATCTAATAAAAATCAGTTTATATATATTAAAAGATTCCCCAAATTTCTTCATCAAATTAACATATTTTTGATATAGCTAGTTATTCAAGAATAGAGTTAAAACTTCTTAAACCAAGGATAAACAACCACTATACAACCTTCCTATCATACATAATTTCATTAATTTCTTAGAATCAACCCAAAGTTCACTCAACCCTATTTAAATCCCAAAACAAGAACTATGGATCAAATATAGAAGATTTCTTCATGTAAAGTATAAAAATCTTACCAAGTGATGATCTTTGATGAAGAATATGTTTAATTTGAGCTCGAATCACCCTAGAAATGGTTTGACATTGATTTGTAGAGAGAAGGACGAGCTGAGATCGATTTTGGATTGAAAGGGGGGGGGGTTGCGCTTAAAAACGCTATTTGACCGACCTGCCAAAACCGACCGAACCGGCGCCGGTTTGCCCCTGACCGGCGCCGGTTGCCCAGCACTCCAACACCCTAAATGTTCCGTTTTGAACCGGCGCCGGTTTGGCCCCAACCGGCGCCGGTCCGGCACCCCCCGGGTGCCGAAAACGCCCTTTTTTCGCCCTAAACCGACCCCGACTGTTTCCAATCCCATCCTAGACCCTGATGACGTTTTAAACTATATTTTAAACACCCGAATACTATCTAACATAACAACTAACTTGATATATCATTCCTTTTAAAATAAAATGATTATTATAGTATATTTTCGTTGCTCATCGGATACCGTCACCTGTCACGTTCAAACATAATACAAACATGTGAATTCAAATATGATTATCACAAAGTTCATATTCACATATATAACATTCAAACCATAAGTTAAAACATGATCATAATGAAAACGATTAACACATAAGAAATAGATAAAAGTACGGGCGTTACAATCCCTCCCACCTTATAAAAGTTTCATCCCCGAAACTTAGAATAACTCAGGGTAGCGCTTCCTCATGGCTTCCTCGGGTTCCCATGTTGCCTCCTCAGTTTTGTGATTTCTCCATAGAACATTTACTAACATTATCTCCTTATTTTTTTAGTCTTTTAACCTCACTGTCAAGTATTTTCACCGGTTTCTCTTCATAGGTCATATTTGGTTGAGTTTGTATTTGCGGGGGTACAAGAATATGTTATGGGTTTTCAAAATATCGTTTGAGCATCGAAATGTGGAACACATTATTGACGAGCACTTTGTCACGGTGCGTCAAAATAAATTCAATACTAAACACTTATACGTAGTATAGCGTAGTAGAGTTCGTATCCACAGGGAAAGGAATAATTCTCTTTTTATGAAACTAGTAATTAAAAGGGGGGTTTTGGTTTTGAATGATTTAATTTAATTAAAAACTAAGATGAACGACCTATATGAGATTTAATTCAAAGATAAAAAGGACTTGGCATTTCTACTTTCCACTTGTTGATGTACTTTAGTCGATCATTGTTATATCTATAACTTATTCCCTCTCGAATACTCAATCGGGGAGTATATCCACTTCATTGAGGGTAGTTATTAACAACAACCGTTCATTAATAACCCTTACTATTAATCAAATATAGAACAACGTCTTATACCGATTTAATAGTAGCATTTAATCTTTCTAACTCCTTGATGAAATCAATTGAGATTGATAACCTCAACACAACGGTTTCGGTTTAACCAACAAAATTAATTCCTCTTAAGTTTATTAACCACGACCGTGCATTAATAAACTGAAGTTACTTACTTGTGAAACCATCAACGATTAACCATCGGTTCGTTGATCGTTTCTAGTAATAATTAATATATGAAACAAAACTAGTTGATCCTTTAAGTAATGTTCAAAATATTAATATGAAATATGAGTAGGAATTAATTAATATTCAAGGAAGAATATTATTAAAGAAGATGAATCCTACTATAATTAATATCAAGATGTTAACTAATTGTCATCTTAGCAACACTCCCCAACATTAATATAGAGGAAGAAAATACCATTCTAACTAATGTCGAGATGTTAACTAATTGTCATCTTAGCAACACTCCCCAACATTAATATAGAGATGGTATTAAGGAAAGAACTATTAATTAATATTCAAGGAAAGAAGTTAAGAAAATAACTCACAACTTTAATAATCAACAAGCTTCAAGAGCAACACCAAGAATGGAAGTTTAGCTCCTCATTTGGAGACTAAACATAGCTAGAAAAATATAAAGAAATGCTATTCTAAACTGAGC